TAAATCCACACTCTGTTTGGCATATTAATTAACTAAAAAATCTCTACTGCTATGCTTTGCTCAAATAGGATTCAGAAAACACTATCTGCCTTTATTGAACTCATACTTGTTATATATGCAGATGTTCTGTCATGGCCTTAGGTGGTAAAAGCTGCTAAGACCTTAACTGAACAGGCAATATTATGAGAAACACAGCAAACAGGGAAAGAAGAAAGCTGCAGAGATGTTTGACACATGTTTGACATGCTTAGAACATCATGGTGTAGCTGAAACACCACAAAGAAAAGTATTAACCAAAGAAGCAAGAGTCCCACCAATAACTCTACAGAAATCCTTGACTTTAAGTAGAATAATCTTTGATAGGAAGGAGAATATAAATGCAACTTTCTTGATAGAATGGTAGGAATGTATACTTTGTCTGCTAGAAGCAAACACAGATTCAAACTGTATTTTTCAGAAATTAGACAGATAAGGCAGAAATGTTAATCCATGGAACGACCTCGCTGCTTAAATAGCATGGTGGTGGAGGCATCATGTCATCATACAGAACCGAATGGAAAGAGGGAGTTTTATTTTGAAAAAAAAAGGAAACTTTGAAACTTATTCAGCTCTATATAAAGATCTGATGTCTTCTCAGAGGATCTGGATTTAAATTATACTAGTCTGTTTAGGAACCAACAGGCTTCTAAAAGGATTCACTTGGTTTTGCTTGATTTTAGTCACAGGTATCAGTGTAAAGAGATTAGGATCCCGACTGAACATGGTTTTACACATTTTTAATTTGTCTTTTTGTTGGTTCTGTATTCCTTGTGGCTTGTAGTAGAGATTTAATAAAATGGGATGCGCAAAATTGTTCTAAAAATTTAACTTGTTAAACTAAATGTGTGCAGTCTCCCTCGTTTAAGCTAAAGGACATTGGTTGTCAGTTTGGGCCTCATTGCAAACAGTGAGAGAAAATTTTAATCAGATGAAAGTAATTTTAAATATAGAACGTTTTAAATTTGTAATGGCACTTAATTTTGTTCCCTTTTAACCTTGGATTTATGCAAAATTATTTTTGCAGAACAATTAATCAACTGGGGGATGTGGCATCAGTAGAGTCTTGATGTTTGTGCACTTTTCACTTTAATCCTGCAGATCCAAAAACAAGCTGAAATGCTCAAAGGTGTAGACTAAAGCAACTGGGTCATTTTTATTTGCACAAATGCACCTCAAACTACAGAAATCCTCCTTGACAGCTGATTATACTTATTTGCCAGGATCATGCTCATCTAAATAAAATCAATGAAAAAAACCTTAGCATGGTGGCTGAACATGTATTCAGGTAGGTAAGAACTAAAGCTATATCTGCTAAGAATCAGATCAGTACTTCTATGCAGCAAACACAGAGTCTCATGGATTTTCAGAAATGACTTATTAAATGTGAGAGCTCCCCCTACAGGTAAGATCCAAGACAGCGACGCTACAATCACATGAGACCAGCAGCAGTAATTTAACTTTAATCAAGCCATGTGAGTTTAGCAAACACAAAGGACAGAACCATCGCAGACCTAAGATAGTTGTCCACACAGTGGATGTCCCTCCAAATGACTGCTGATGCATGCAGGGACTAAGGTAGTTTACCCTGAGGTTGATGCTGGAGGGGGAGCAAGGCCAGACAGGTAAGCAAAAGTTGATGTTGCCATGGGAACCATTGTGTTTCCCTCCCTTGTGATTGGTGCTGCTGGCATGACCAAGGATCTGCTATTTCAGTCATGATTCAACACCTCGGATACAAGTGCAGTCACAGGATGCACACACACACACACACACACACACACACACACACACACACACACACACACACAGACATCAATACACACAAAGAGGTCACTGTGCTCACTTTCCAGCTTGGAAATACATTCAGTCGTCGTACAAAAACCTTGTTATTTGTAAAATTAAATTAGCACCTGAACTTCTTCTTGCAATAATTCAAAACTCAGTAGAAACGCAAAACATACTGTTTCTACCTAATAATCCAACCCCAGAGCCAAGGCTTTTGTGCAGGAACAGCAACAACGAGGACAACAAAAAAACCTTCAGAAGACTAATAAAGTGGTCATGGAATCGATAAACTTACATGCTTTTAAATCACTAAAGGATTTCTCAGATAAAAGATGTAATGACTCATTACTTATCTGGGTTTATGGAGCTTGGTTTCAAGTGATGAATCAATTTGTCGGGAAGCACAGGGCGTGAAAGGAAGACATGGCAGAAAATTCCATTCATGTGTGTGCTCTTTTCACGGACAAACAGTAAAGTACAGTTACATGAAAGGATGAAAGGAATTGACAAATACAGCAGAACCGATTGTTCATTAAAAAATGTGTCCATAGCACACTATGATATTTCAGATACAACCAGGACATAAATGTACAGCACACACGGTGTAAGTATTCTCTTACAGATTTTTAGTTTTTTTCCCCTATTTATCCTACTTAATTGTTTCAGAACATGAAATGACTACTAAATATGCACATACACTGTATAACCTGAGAATTTACTAAAAAGACAATTTTGAAATGACAATATACACAAACAAATCTAACCCCTCATGGCCCATCAAACCAAACAGTTTATTTTAACAACAGCCATTCAGTATTTTTTATTAACTGGTAGTGAATTTTTTACATCGCTGCTGAGAAATTTTATTCTGCCACACCAGATGGTCTTCAAACATAATCAGCTTAGGTAAGGTCATGCAAAAGCATTTCAATCATGTTTAAGTCTGAACTTTGACTTATTAGCCAAACAATGACAAAGACTCTCAGATGGGTATCAAAATGTTTCCAGAAAAACTTTTAACCGACTGATAGTGGTCCCTTATGTCTGATATTTATCCCTTGAGCGTTACTTTATAAACAATTTAAGCATGGTTTGTGGTTCATGACCCAGATAACTAAGAATTTACACCGGCACATTCCAAAATCTTTGTTTTGTACTTTTGAGCAGTTTCGGAGAGGCACCTGCTGGTGTGCTTTGGATCATTGCCCTGCATAACACATAAGCACTTGAGTTTAAGGTCTCAAACTGATGGCAAGAAGGAAATCATTGCTAATGATTTACAGGACTCATTATCCCATTGTTGTCAGCATGTTCCTCTGGTTCTGCATACAGTATGCAAGGATCCTCTTACTGTACAACATTAGTTAAAAAAGTACAGGTTTACACTAGATGTGAGAGGATAGACATCTTTAAATTTCCAATTATGTCTCGTCAGATAAAATCCTATTTTCCCAAGAATCTTAGTCATCTTAAAGAGGGTTTTCCGCAAATGTAAGATGAATTTATATATATATTTTTTTTATTAGTTGTGCTTTTTCACCTAAGAACTTTCCCATGGGTGCTACTTTTATTCTACTATGTGGTTTGAGGCTCTTTCATGACCTCCTAGCTGAGTTGCTGTTGTGCTTTTGGAGCAATTTAGGGTGATATTGGTTTACAGTAGTCCAAAATTGCCAACAATGAGTCGTAACCCTTTCCAGGTTGACAGATATCTTTTGTGTATCTTTTTGAGATATTTTAGCTCACTGCATGATAGCAGACAGGTTTGTTAAATTATTTCTGATTCATAAAGGTCAGGTTTTAATCAGACCATGTTGTGGTTGATGATTGATTGAGGGAGTGACTTCATAGATGTTTATTTAGTGGGGCACATTCCTAATCATTACATATCTCAGCTCAAATTATATGTAATTGTAGGCTGTAGAAACTGATGAAAATATTAACTCAGAAGTATTAATCTGTATATCCAAAAAGGTTTGAAAAACTGTTTCATTTTTAAGGATTTAGAATATCCTCGATATCAGTCTGCAGGTTTTTAATTAACAGGAAATGTTTTCTAATGTCCAACTTCTATTCTGTTAGGTCAAGACTGCTCTATGCCGCTAACGACTTAATAATATCTTTTATTCACTGAGTATGACTGTAGGATTAGGGGATCATTATATTGATTTGGGTAGTTTTATTCTCTGAATGTCTTAAACCATCATTTGAAATTTTTATTTTGTCTTTACTCAGGTAGTAAAGTGTATTATATCAAATTTGATTTGATGTCTGAAAAATAAAAAAAATTGAAAATGTAACATATATCCAGAAAACTAATTTAAGAGTCAGTTGTATATTTTTGGACTCTGTCAATACCTTTGAAGTCACTCTTTTATCATCAGATCAAAAGGCCAGCCTGGTGAGAAGGCTTTTTGCTTGATTAACCATTGATGAGATGTTGTTCAATTAAGATGCAGAGGAATAAAATTACATCACTTAATGTATTCTCAGGGTGAAGGTGACTGCTATAAGAATATGGTTTTACCTGTGGTTAAGTCAATTGAAGAAGCAAAAAGTGGGGAATGTGTTAATGTGGACAGAGTATGCAGCAAGGCACTAAGACCCAGTGGAGAACAGGGAAACCTGCCTGCCCACCACTGCCAGTCTGCCTGCACAGCTCTGCATTCGCTCTGGGCGTGACCAGGAATCTGTGTGTGAAAGTGTGTGAGATGGGGGAATATGTCCACATACTTGTGCATCATTAATCTCTACTTCCTTTCTTGCTTCTGGATCACCTTGACCATAGAGGCAAATACAAATCTGAGTGGACAGGTGTGTGCATGTGTGTGAGTGAATGATAAGAAAGCATCCGACTGGTCTGAGGGATGGCAAATTGAAATAGCCCAGGTGAGGAGGAGACTCAGGACTTTCCTCTTCCCCCTTCTCCTCCTCCTACACTCCCTCCCTCCCTGTGACGCGGTGTGCATGAGTGTTTGGTGTGTGTGTGTGTGTGTGGGTGAGAAAGCGAAACAGGTCAGCAGTGCTTCAGCAGACTGGGAACCTTCACAGGAGGAAGCAGCCCTCTGCAGACTCAGGTATGTCACTCACAATTCATTACTCACATTTCCAGCCTTAGCTGCCCCCTTGGCAGGGCAAGTAGGTGGGTTAAAGGAAAGATGAATGACTCATGATGCAGTATTTTCTCTCACATCTCTGCATTCTCATGTAAAACAACAAACTATAGAAAAGACAGTTCGTTTTCAACACTGTCTCATAAGTGTTGCTTGTCCGTTGCTGCAGGGTAGTAAGAAAGCTGTGCAGTGACAGGTACGTTGAACAACAGCCTACTTTTTCTGCCTGCGCCAAACAGTGTCATGTGCATATGATAGGGTCATATGTTTCCAAGTCAGCAGTCCGAGGGATTCAGTACAGCTTTGGATTGTAGCTTTGTGCAATGTTTTTTCTTTTCCGTAAAGTTTAAACTTAAATTGCACTGCTGTCACTGATTTGATTACATTAACTCTGCTCTACTGTGCTCTTTCCCTCACTAAATAGTTTTGTTTGTGTAGTGAAGACCTCATTTAAAAAATCCCGTGATTCAGGATGGTATTTAGCAGAATCACACCATTTTAAGAATGAACTGCTGATTTGTGCAGCAAAGTGATTATATTTTAGCTTAGGCATGGGTTAGTATTTGATTCTTATAATAGCAAAACCTCTTGTGAAATGAACAATTACAAATTAACAGAACAACATGAAACAGTATTTGATTGCTTTTATTGATAATCTTCTGCTTATATATGAACCATTCATTGTCAATGATGATATTGTCATAAAAATTTTATTTTGATTTGGTGCAAAGATATTAGCAATTTTAGATACATGTCTGCCATTTTCTTTTTTATAGTAACGCTCAAGCGATAAATATCAGACTTAAGGGACTAATATCAGATGGTTGATCTAATCTAACCGCAGTAATCAAAATGCAGTCATGCTAATCGTAGCTGACACCTTTTGTTAAAAAAACGTGTTAACTAGATAAGGATGGGTGGAGCCCCCTTTTAACTACACTAAACACTGACCTTATAAATTTTTCATTGATAAAACTTCAAAACAGCTTATTTTGTCTTTCTTGTTGACAAGGAAAACGTATAGTAGACATTAGCAGCTAATTAACCAATAGTGCAAATCACCAGGTGGTGAAGGGGCAGTGGTCTTCATGCAGTGGTCTCTATACTCAGATACAAACTGAATTTACTTTGTGATTTTCTCAATATCTCTTTAAAAATACTTTAAACTGCCCTACATGTGACATGAGGAATTCAATAGATGATTATATCACTCTGAGCTATTAAGAAATAAAACACCCATTATCTTATGCCCACACCTGTCAGGTGATCATTTCACCTGCGGTGTATATAAATGGGCAGGAAAAGATGAGTAGCCCTATGGAGGACCAGCCAGTGATACCAATGAAGTGGAAAACTTACACCTGCAGGTGAGCAGCATATGGAAATGTACCAATGCTTTTGTGCTGGCTTCCGAGCTTTAACATTGTGTGGGGTTGCATCTAGGTGAGGTTGTGACAGTAAACACTACCTACTCGACTGGCAAACAGACTGCTGAGGGTGACCCACGACCATATGCATAAGTCAAGTTTTAATTTCTTGCAATTTGAAAAGGATTCATCGATCTCCTTCTCACATCACTTAGGACAGAAGGGAGCTCTGTAATGCTGAGTTTTGCAATTTATTTGCACATCCATAATTTCTTCTCCAGTAATCTAATGGGGACATATGGTCCAACCCTTTGCTTTTAGCTTCTCCCTGTGGGGGTTGCTGCCCTGAAAACACACATCTGAGGATGCAGATGTCAAAATATCCAATAAATCATGACCCTGGCTTTAAATAAACACAGCCAGCATTAAGATAAATAACTTTTAAGTGACAGAGTAGATTTAAGCTAAAAGATGGCATTGCTTTCAGTAGTAAAACTAGTGTTTTACAACTGAAAAGCTAGGAAATTTGTTTTGCAGACGAAGTAACCTACTGATAGTAGCTAATAAGCTTCACTGTACAGAATGTTTAATATTAAGTTTTAATGATAAGAATTTTTGCATGTCCAGCATCCAGCTTTAGTGTTTGTCATTATTCTTTAAAGCAAACTAACAACAGAGGTAATTTCTCAGGTTCCCAGTATTCATGTAACGCATTAAATTACTGAATGAAACTCTTTTCTTTCTTCTAGATCTTTGCTGAATGGGATTATCAAGAGAGGACTTCTTTAGTTAAGAGCGTATCTACATCAAGGTTAACATCTTAACCATCATCCAAACTCCAGATACAAGTCCACTGGGTTCAGGGCCTGCACGCTTTTAGCAACTATGGCAAAAACCGACGGCTGAGCCTCTCGGAGACCCCCTTCAACAGAGGAGGATGGGTGATGGACCCGTAAAATTCAGCAAATTCCCTCCTCTTCATTTCAACCTCTCATGGAGAATCCCATCAGACCAAGGCCCTCCTGGAACAACGCGTCCGCATCCACATTCCAAAACTCTTTTCAGCCAAATGTGTCTAATGTAATCAGGCAAAACGGAACTGCTGCGAATGGGATAGATCTGAATCAGACCTTGGGGCTTTGCGCTATGCTCGTCATGGACATTCTAGCAATTGTGGGGAACTTGGCTGTGATGATTGTGATCACTAAAACACCACAGCTGAGGAAGTTTGCCTTTGTGTTCCACCTCTGTCTGGTGGACCTGCTGGCAGCACTGCTGGTGATGCCTCTGGGGATGCTGTCAGACCGTATTCTGGAGGATGAGGCTCTCTGCCGCAGCTACCTCTGTCTGAGTGTTTGTCTAGTGAGTGCTGCCATCCTCACCATCTGTGCGATCAACGTGGAGCGGTACTACTACATTGTCTATCCCATGCGTCATGAGGTGAAGATGACTGTTGGGGTGGTGGTAGCAGTGCTAGTTGCAATCTGGATTAAAGCTCTCATCATGTCAATGTTGCCCTTGCTAGGATATCTGCTCCAAGGGACTCCCACTGTGGGGACTCCTGGAGTCCTAGTTCCCAGTCAGAGACACTGTTCCCTCCACTGGACTGGAGGAAGGACCACACGACTAATTTTCATGGTTTTCTTTACTGTAATCTATTTTCTGTGCCCTATGCTGATCATTTTGGTGGTCTACTGCAATATGTTCAAGGTGGCCCGAGTGGCATCCATGCATCGTGGTCCAAACCCCACTTGGGTAGAAACTTCGAGGCAACGCTCCGACTCTGTGAGCAGCCACTCCACCATGGCAGCAAGCCTTGCAGGCACTGGAGCACGTGCAACTCCTCAAAGGACCTTCAGTGGCGGGAAGGCCGCAGCAGTTTTGGTGGCAGTCGGAGGTCAGTTCTTCTGCTGCTGGCTGCCATATTTCTCCTTTCACCTCTACTCGGCTGTCATTTCAACCTCTCCGGCCTCCCTGATCCAACTGGAGGACGTGGTCACATGGATTGGCTATTTCTGCTTCACCTCCAACCCCTTTTTCTATGGCTGCCTGAACCGACAGATTCGAGAAGAGCTGGGCCGCCACCTGGCTTGTATTTTCAAAAAGGCCGCACCAACAGAGGGAGAGCAGCTACCCAGCCGTGAAGCCTCCATCGAGGAGAACTTTTTGCAGTTCCTTCAGGGCACTGGATGCAATCTGGAGCCCTGCAACTCTCACAGCAGAGTCACCCCAGAGGAGGCAGGAACTGAGGGTCTTCAGGAATCAGCTGTTGAGCAGAACACGCCAGCTGACTTCCATGTCCCAGGGCAGATCCTCGAGGAAACGGCAGAGTTCATGCAGCATCAACGGCTAAACAATGAGCTTTGTGTATTGAAAAACTGCTGCAAGACTGTGCCAGAGATATAGCTGCCTCATATACTGTTTCTTGCACCAAGTAATAACACAATGACGATTTTTAGTTTTATTCATAGTGTTTGTTATTTATGTGGCAACAATTTCTTTGGGCAATAAATCCAGGAGACAGCAAGATTTGGTTTAAGAGTATGCTTTTGGTTAGAACTCTAACTCTTAAAGACTTACAGTTTGGACTTTAATGACTGCCACTTTACGTGTTTTGGGCGTCATATGGTGTCATGCAGTTTTTGCTCTGCGTCACATAACATTTCATGTTTTGGTTACAGTTCAAGTGAAGTGATGATCTTCATATAAACATGAAGAGGCTCTCAAACATGGCTAGAAGGTAAATCAGGGAAAGAGATGTTTTAAATGCTGAGTGACTGCTGTAGTTTTCAGAAATGTGTTTTATTTATGAAGTGTTTAACATCATTAACCCTACAGAGAAACAGACTGATATCAGTGGTAACAGAACTAATGCACAAAGAAAAGCACTATTTTCAAATGGAAAACATTGCATTTCTGTACTTATTTGTTGTCCTTCAGATCCTTTTATTTAAAGTTTTTAAATTTTGAAATAAGAAGGAAACTCATTGACAATTAGATCCAGTTAACTCAGAAATAAAGAGCTATGAAATAACAATTCTCAAGCTTTGTTTAAATTATTTTTTTAAGTACTGCTTTAAAGTAGCCTATGCTGAAATTAGCAAAACATGACTTGAACAAGGATATAAACAATTTTCCCTCATAGCTCTGCTTTAAAGCTTACTCCAGAGTTGAATGTTTTGTGTTTGTGCTCATTAGCTAAGTTGGGGTTTATGTCATGCTTAGATGGAAGTTCTGACATTATATGTTAATGGAGCAAAACATTAGTAGCAAGGTTGCTTGGGTTCACTGTCTTCTCCTACATCATAGTGAGTTTGTTTTTATCTTGCAATTAAATGACTGCAGAATTTCCTTTGAGTACAGCTTAACGCAGCCCAATAACAGTGTGAATACCAAAGGATTTAAACAATTGAATAAAAATAGAAAACAACATAAAAAAGCAACATAAAAAGCAAAGCTTACCAGTTTTAAGAAATACGTTTTTTACTGTTTTCATCATGAACTTATTTTATGTTTTTATTTAAAAAAAAACAAGGAATTAAACAATGTGAAAGGCTTTAAATAAAAGTTTTGTGTCAACGTTTTGAAACTTTTATTAATTAAACTTTTATTAATTAAACTTTTATTTATGAACAGGATTGTTTCACAGCTTTGTCTGGTATTTATAATAAACAGCCTGGCAGTGTATTTTTAGTCATTTTCCAGAATCTTATTATCATGTTTATCTGTTCTTAGTCTTGTGATTATCACCTCTTCACCAAAATGGGAAACTCGTGATTTCATTCCCTTCCACTCAAAGACAAACATTGTGGCTGATTTAGTTTGTTTAGGAGCAGCGCAGTGTAAAAGGGTTTTAGGCTCTTTCAGAGAACAGCCGCGCCATGTTAGAAACACTACAGGAATAAAACACCCTGTGATGTCTGTGCTGTTTACAGGTAAACATCAGAGCGGTGTGAGCGCTCTCGTGTTTGTGCAATAAACAACCAGGCTTGTTGTGGCTACACATAGCACAGAGGTGTGACAACGCTCGCACACATGGAAAGCTTTGCCTTTGGCCTTGTTTAGCAGCAAATGGAAGACATTGAGACACTTTTTCTCTTTCTAGAAGAATAGCAAAGCACTGTGCTCAAGTCACACGAGTGGAGACCAATTTTCCCAAGAAGACAGATATGTTAATTCCTAAAGTGAAGGCACCTTTCGTGCTGTTTTATCTGTCTGTCTTATATGGGGTAGTCTGTATGATCACAAGACTCTGAACACAAGGCAAATGGCTAAAACAAAAAAATGGTCTCTTTGTGAGGGGGAACAAATAACACTGTTCATTTTCTTTCAGTTTGACCTTGTTTCAGACATGTTTTTCTATTTTAAAATGTTTATTTTTGCAAATGAGAATGCCAAAAGCCAAGTCTAAGCCAAGAGCACTGACAAAGACAAATAAGAGATGCACTCTTCGATGTTCCTCAGTTTGTGTGTTTTCATTTATTATCAGCACTTATAAAACTGTTAATGTTAAGACATTATATAAAATGCCTTGATTTATACCACCAGCGTTTGTAAACATTAGCAGCAAAACTGCCCTGACCAGTCTGATAAAATGCTTTAAACTCTCCTTCTGTCAACATTTGTCAATTCCAAAGATGGGGACGCTATCTGCTAAACTGTTGGAAGTGGATAATTTATTTACTTTTTAAATGCAATGTTGACCTCTGTATCTCATCCGTAAGCTGGATGTATTCATTTCCCATAGCATTTATGTTTTGTACTTGAGCTGAAAAGACTGTTATTCCTCCTGTGTTCTCTCCATCTGCTCAACTCATTAAAGACAACGGCAAGAATTTTAATTTGAGTGTTGTTGCTGCAGATATGCGTGGACCAATAACTACAAATGTCCTTGTGTGTGTTTTTGTGTGTGATCCCAGCAGGAGTTAAAAAGAAGGCAAAGTTAGGTTAAGGATATAATGAAAGCGGGCATTAGTAAAAAGCTTGATGTAGAAACTAACTTTTACCAACATTATTTCCATAAAATTAACTTTTTTAATAATTTCCGAGGTTCGGCCTTTTTGATAGTTGATAGAAGATTGTCTTATGATGTTAGGGGCTTTTTGTTTTTAGCTAATTCTGTTATTTCCTTCTACCAAGCATATATTGAGAAAATGTGATTAAAATGACAACAGATAAGTATTGAAAGATGTTCCAAGATGTTCTATTATCAATTGTTCTTAGCAGCAAGTTTAGTTTAGTTTTTCTTTGCTTAGGTTTATCTTATGTAAGCACAACACAGCTTCATGTTGTGCTTGTAGTAAGAAGTTCAGGAGCCCCTTACTACAAGTGCAGACAGGAGCGTTAAATGTCCGGTAACTTAAAAATAGTTATTTAGAGACCCGTTAATCTGCCCCAAAATACTCAAAGGCAACAATGGAAAATGAGGCAAAATAATAAGGAAATCCATTTACAGAAGAATAAAAAAGAAAAAAAAAATGGTCAATCTAACAATGCATGAATAAAACAAAGGAGTATGAACTGTGGAAGCAAAAAAGGGGATTTTATAGGTACTTTTAGAGCAAAAATGGGAACATAGCTTCCATAAACAGTTGAACATTTTGAGCTGTCAACTTTGCAGAAGTCCCTTATATTGAGATTGCAATTGGTTGAGGTAGGTAAAAAAATAATTTTTGTCTACCTAAATAAAAAGTATTCAAACTGTTACACCAATTTATATTATGATTGTTATTAAAACTGTAACCATTTCTTTTGTGAATTTGTGATGTGTGATTACTGATGGCATCCCGTGAGCTGCCACCTGTGGTGGGTTTGTTTGAGTGCCTGAATGATCTTAGGAGCTAAGTTGTCCACAGCGTTATGCCCCTGGTAGGGTCTCCCATGGGAAAAAGGTCCTAGGTGACGAGTCAGACTAAGAGCAGCTCACAAGACCACTTTGGATAGAATTAACACAAGGACAGTGACATCGCCCAGTAAGGCGCACCTTGAGGCCAGGCCGGGAGGTTGAGAGGAACTGGCTGGATATAGTTGGGCTCACCTCTACACCTCTACACACAGCTTGGATTCCAGATTATATCTCCTGGAGAAAGGCTAGACGCTCTACTTCTCTGACATTGCCCGTGGCAAGAGGCGGCGAGCTGGGGTGGCCTTGCTCATTGTCCACCCTCTCAGTCGTCACATGTTGGAGTTCACCCAGGTGAACGAGATGGTCGCATCCCTACGCCTTCTGGTTAGGGACAGGTCTCTCACCGTTGTCTCGGCCTATGGGCCCAAGATCGGTGCAGGGTACCCAGCCTTCTTGGAGTGCTTGGGAGGGGTACTAGAAAGTGCTCCAACTGGGGTCTCTGGACAGGGGTGATCGGTAGGTACGGCCTCCCCAATCTGAACCCGAGCGATGTTCTATTATTGGACTTCTGTGCTATTCACAATTTGTCCATCACGAACACCATGTTCTAACACAAGGGTGTCCATAAGTCAATGTGGCACCAGGACACCCTAGGCCAGAGGTTGATGATCAACTTTGTAGTTGAGTCATCTGATCTCCGGTCATGTGTCGCGGACACTCAGGTGAAGAGAGGGGCTGAGCTGTCAACCGATAACCACCTGGTGGTGAGCTAGATCCTCTGGCAGGGGAGGAAGCCAGTCAGACCTGACAGGCCTTAGCGTGTTGTGAGGGTCTATTTCGAACATCTGGTGGATGCCGTCAAGCTGAAGAAGGAGGCCTACCTGATCTTGTTAGCTAGTGGGACTCTGGAGTCAGCTGAGAGGTACCGGCAGGCCAAGTGTACTGCGGCTCGTGCGGTCACAGAGGCAATAAACTCGGGTTTGGGAGGAGTTCAGAGAGGCCCTGGAGGAGGAATATCGGTCGGCCTCGAAAGTGTTCTGGCAAACTGTCCACCCCCTAAGGAGGGGAAAGCAGTGCTTCAACACACAGTGTGAGTGGGGAGCAGTTGACCTCGACTACGGATGTTGTCGGGCGGTGGAAGGAGTACTTCGAAGATCTCCTCAATCCTTTTGTCACGCCTTCCGAGGAGGAGGCAGAGGCTGGGGACTTAGAGGTGGACACGCCCATTAGCCAGGCTGAAGTCACCGAGATAGCTAGAAAGCTGGTGGCAGGGGCCCGGGGAGGGATGAGATTCCTCCTGAGTACCTTAAGCCTCTGGATTTTGGCTGACACGTCTTGGCAGTATCGCATGGTGGTCGGGGACAGTACTCCTGGACTCCTGGTCCCTCTCTTTAAAAAGGGGGCCCGGAGTTTGTGCTCCAACTACAGAGGGATCACACTCCTCAGCCTTCCCAGTAACGTCCATTCAAAGGTGCTGGAGAGGAGAATCGACCTGATAGTCAAACCTCAGATCCAGAAGTAATAATGCGGTTTTTGTCCCCGATGCGGCACACTGGACCAGCTCTATACCCTTCATCGGGTGCTTGAGGGTTCGTGGGAGCCCAACAAGTCAACATGTGTTTTGTGGATCTGGAGAATGGCTTTCCACCGTTTCCCTTGTGGTGTGGGGGATGATCCGGGAGTATGGGGTCTGGGGCCCTCTGTTAAGGGCTGTCCGCTCTCTCTATGACCACAGCAGGAGTGTGGTTCGCATTGCCAGCAGTAAGTCAGGACTATTCCCGATGCATGTTGGCCTACGCCAGGGCTGCCCTTTGTCACCGGTTCTGTTCATTACATTTATGGACAGAATTTCTAGGCGCAGCCAGGGACCAGAGAGTGTTCAGTTTGGGAACCTCAGGATATCATCTCTGCTGTTTGCATATTAAGTTGTCCTGTTGTTATCTGTTGTAAGCTCAGTTACCCGAGAGGAGCTTGGAGTAGAGTCGTTGCTCCTACATGTCGAACGGAGCCAGCTGAGGTGGCTCGGGCATCTGTTTCGGATGCCTCCTGGTCGTTTCCCTCAGGAGGTGTCCCTGGCATGTCCCATTAGGAGGTGGCCTCGTGGAAGGCCCAAGACACCCTCGAGGGACTATGTCTCAGAGCTGGCTTGGGGTCGCCTCAGGGTCCAGAGCAGCTGGAGGAAGTGTGTGTGCATCTGGAAGTCTGGGCATCTTTGTTTAGAGTGCTGCCTTCGCGACCCGACCCTGGATAAGTAGAATTAAAATGGATGGATGGATTATTACTGATGTGATTTGTTGTGAAGGATCAACAAATAAAGAGAGGGAATGGGAACAATCTCAGAAAGTAGTCTAAATATTTATTTCGACAACTTTCATTGTCATTTTGTATACACATAGTGTACAGCTTTCAGAGAGTTTTATGGTCTTAATGATTAACTAGTAGACTTAAATGGGACCTATAGTAAAAAATAAATTGAGTATAATTTGCATAGTCAGTCAAGCATCTACAGTCATGTTTTCTTTCTTCAGTGTTTCAAGGTGTCCAATCCAATGAAAGATTGACGCCGGTTAACTCAGAGAGGATTGTCTATTTCGTGATCCAACTAATTTTTACAATCTTTACTGGGCTGCTCACATCAGTTGCAGCCTTATAGCCATCATCTGAAGAGGTGCGCCTCCTGCAACGCACAGCAACACTACAAATGACCTGGCCTTTGTTCTTGGCTACAATACTCAATAAGAGTGCTCAGGGATCGCAGCCACCACCTGTCACTTCTGAAGGTCACCGGGGGCACTGCACCCTTAATAGGTGGGAGGGTTTTGGTGTAAACAAAAGCCTTAAAACAGGCTCAGAAAAGATGACACATGCAGTCTTACAAAACCATCAACAACACACAGTGAATCACTGCAGTGATAGAGATTAGCTCAATTACAACAATTTCTCACCTACTCTGAAACCCTGACTCTTGGGATACAGCTCTTGTCTTGATGGTGTTTAGAGATAGCAGCAGTAAGGGATTAATTTAACAGAAATGGCAGGAGGCGTGAGATGATCAGGAAAAAAAGAGTAAGGGGATCTGTTTATCAATTAATTCTACATTCAAAAATAAACACAGAAGTCCTCTGATTGCATCTACAAGGATAAAGATAATCATCATTTATTTATTGTAAAAGGCAGATAAATATGTACCATGCCTTTGAAAACTCTTCATATCTCTATTTGTAATTGAAGTTTAATTCATTTTAAATTCATGTATTATAAACAAAAACAATTATGGGTAACAGTATAATACTAGTTACATTAATATGTAAATAAACCAAAAAAATGTTAAATTGTAAAAAATATCTCAGGGGCTTTATACGACCTTCTTAATATGGTGTCCCAAAAAATCTTCAGTCAGTGTCTCCTTTCAGATTGTTAAGCATGGCCTCATAAGAGGCTGTGCCCGACATTAATTTAATAGAATAATTTATCTCTGGGTGCACTGTGGTCTTTCAGTGTCTTAAGATGATTTGGGATGCTGTCACAAGACTAACCCTGATGGCTGAAAACATTTTGTTAGAGACATTCAACATTTGAAATCTGTCTCTCAATAGACACAATTCTGGGGTCTGAGTGACTTCTAAGCCAGACCAGGAACTTACAAAAAGTTCAGCTGAAAGGGTAAAACCAGAGGGCATTTTCAAAGGCAATGTAAATATGTCCCCACTTCATCTTAACATTTCCAGCACAAATCATACAGCATTATTTTCATTCTGTACAATCTGGTAGGAGTATAACATCGATGCAACACCTTTTATTATATCAATTTACTTCTGGCCTCATTCACATATTTTTCCTTAGTTATGTTACAACGACAAACTTTTAATTTTGTTACAGTATTTTATGATATTTGCAAATAAACTAGTGCTTGATCACTAAGAAAAATTATGCCAACTTTTCTGTTTTTACAAATAGAATTTTGCAGCAGAATGGGTGGTAAGTATCTGGTTAGCTCCTTGTGTCAATCTGTAATTTACTCACCTTTCAATTATGCTTATCCTAAAGGTCTTTATGTAGCCACACTTCCACAAAGTCCAGATTTACAGAGTGGAAACACATCCATGCTAAGGTTTCATGCAGCTTACTTTTCACCTCATGGTGCTTGTCTGATAAGTACTTCTCATGCCAGTAAGTTGGACAGCCATACATAATATTGATAGATAGTGGTGCCGTGTATTTATTTTTTAAAATCTGATCTAAATAGTGTTTCACTGGTAATTAAAAGCCTGTGTTTTATTTCAAATCTTGACCCTACTTCTCCATAATCTTAGTGTCGACCGGTCTGCTGTGGTTCTTGGTATTTATGAAGTTTGTTCGTGAGAAAGTACAGACATTTGAATAAAATCACCCAGGGGGGTCTTGTTTTTTTTGTTTTTTTTTATCAATAATTAGCTAACTTCTGGAGGTAAATCTCTGCATATCATAATTATATAATGAGTTATTTGTAAACACAAATAAATGCCCCTCATAAATACATATAGTTTCACTATATGTCACTTGGGGGCGCTATTGCTTCACCTAAAACCTCTAAAGGAAAAGTAACTCACACGTCCCATTATTGTCTTCTCAGCAAAACTTGATTCGTTGGGTTTTGTTTGCTTTTAGATGTAGATCCATCTGCATCTCTCAGAGGGCTGCTGGGGTTGTTTTGATCTTCTGATCTTAATTTATCTTCTAATCTAATCTGCAGCTGGAATTGCTTAAGATATGTAAACATATCCATATTTCCCCTTTTGGCTTTTTAACACTTTGGTTTTCAGTTTATTTACTTTTGCTGGTTTGTTAATTTGGAGTTTCCCTCCTTTTTTAATGTATAGATAATTGTTTAGGTAATAATCTATCAGGACTGACAGGGCTGAAGCTGAGCGCATCAGGCTGAAGGTTGAGTTGGGCGCAGCTCTCGGTGCCACCGCCTCTCTGCGCGCTTCTCCTCTCGGTGGAGAAACTTCAGCTCCCACCCGAGCTGTGGACGGAGACAGAATAACATATCCGAAGCGGATTTTTTTTTTGTTTTGTTCTGGAGAAAAAAACAAACAAACAACCAGCAGAAAAAATGGGCTGCACGATCAGCGCTGAGGATAAAGCTGCGGTGGAAAGGAGTAAAATGATTGATAAAAACCTACGAGACGACAGAGAGAAATCATCCAGAGAGGTGAAACTGCTTCTACTCGGTATGGATCCATACCCGATGCTTCTTTTTGCTTCACTGTTTTAATAACTTTTTATAAAGTATGTAACTTTTTGAAATGTCCATTTTTTTCTTCACTGTGACTTATTAGTTTGGGAAACTTCAACACTCCTCCCCTTTCTCTCCCTCTTATGGAGCTGGGACTCATCGTTCCCTGAGAAAGCTGACAGAAAGAAACCAGATGTTGGTCAGAGAGCAACTGCAACAGCTTGGCTGTATTTATCAGTGTTGGGTTGTTGAAAAGAATAAGGGGAGCATGCTTATATAAGAAGACAAGTGTTGTCAGTTGTTGCTGAAAATGTTGGATACAGATGAAGGACTGTTTTACTTTAGGTGATGAGCTGGATGAGCAGCTGGGTCATTAATCCAAAGCTTTTAGTAGGAATCTACATTTAATTTGGCATTCGAAGGTGCATTTAAAATATTAGAATATCTAGTAGTTGATTATTTTTCTGGTTTAAAGTGAAAGTACTTTATTGCAGTGTCATTAATATATATCTTTTATGTTAAATTTCATGACTGTAGCTGTTGATTTTATAGTTATCAGACTAGCAGACCATTAATTTAATTTCACTTCAGTTTATTTGTATGGCGCCAATTCACAACACATGTCATCTCAAGGCACTTTACAATTCAACCAGATTATACAGTGAAATTGATTCAAAGTTTTCTATCTAAAGAAAACCAGTTGATTGCAGTTAAATCCCATATCAAAGAGGTTTCTAGAATTTCCTTCTTTCATCTGCGGAATATTACAAAAATTTGAAAAATCCTGTCCAGGGGTGATGCTGAGAAACTAGTCCATGCATTTGTTACTTTAAGGCTGGACTGTTGTAATTCTTTACCATGAGGAAGTCCACAAACTGTAGTTAAAAGCCTTCAGCTGATCCAAAATACTGCAGCCAGAGTTCTGATGAAAATTCAAAAAAGAGATCATATCTCTCCTATATCCCGGCTTCTCTTCATTGGCTTCCTGTTAAATCAATAATAGAATATAAAACCTTAAAGACTAGGCTTAAAACTTTCCTTTTTGATAAAGCTTATAGTTAGCGTGGCTCAGGTTATCCTGAGCTATCTCTATAGTTATGCTGCTATAGGCTAAGACTTCAGGAGGACATAGGGACCTCCATTTCATCATTCTGCTTCATTCTATTTCTATTCTTCCACTTAATCTGTTAGTTTAATGTTATGCTCTCTCTGCCTTTTCTCATAGTAGCTTCACCTCATCTGTTCCTGTTTGGCTGTGACACCATCCTGGAGAGAAATATCAGCTATGCTGCGACCATCAACACCTTTTTTTTTAATAGATATTTGAGATCAGCCTGTTTTTCCAGTGTAGTCCCATTTCTCTGACTGGGACTGGCTGGATGTGCTCTCTTCATCCTCTGACATGGGAGCTGGCTCGGAGCTCGTTTGCCTGGCTGTGTGTTTTCTGGATGGGGCCGCCTTATACCGTTGCTTTTTGTATCTCTGCTTCTGTCTCCTTGAACCCTAGTCGTTTTCGGCAGATCAACTCTTTGACACAAAGGCAATCCCTCAAACTAAGAATGCTTGCAGTGACAGAGGAGAGGAAAACTCCCTTTTAACAGGAAGAAACCTCCAGCAGAACCAGACTCGGGGTGAGCGGTCATCTGAGGCCGACTGGGGTTCAAGGAGACAGAAGCAAAGATACAGAAAGAAGCAGAGATACAAAAGGCAACTGTAAACCAGCACCATGGGCAGCCCTGTCTAGAAAACACACAGCCAGGCAGACAAGCTCCGAGCCAGCTCCCGTGTCAGAGGATGAAGAGAGCACATCCAGTTAGTTACATTCAGAGAAACAGGACTACACTGAAAAACACAGCTGATATTTCTCTTCAGGATGGTGTCACAGCCAAACAGGAACAGACCAGATGAAGCTACTATGAGAAAAAGCAGAGAGAACAGAACATTAGAGATTGAACTAATAAAATTCTACAGAGTGGGAGAATAAAGAATCAGTGATTCTCTCTACATTTAGGGTAGGCCACAACAAATCATTACTAATGAACCTGGACTGTTGTCCTAATTCATTGCGAGCATTTAATGGACAGTTTAGTGGAAGGAAAAATGTGGTAGAATAAGGTTAAAAGGCAAGAGGAATTACAGCTGACTTTTGAGGATCGTGAACTATTTGATATCAGGCAGTATGCTGTTCTTGCTGCCGTTGTGAATAAGAATTTTCATTTTAGGTTTTTCCCACTGATACTTATTTCCATTTTTTGTAGCTTACAAAATCTAATTTGATCATTTGTTTTTCTAATTTTTTTTATTCTAAGGACAATACAGAAAAAAGGTGTTGCATATACAGTACTTTAGCAGAAGTAATATTTTCAATCACTGAGAACCTGAAGTGAACACAAGATTCAAGCAGCAAAGCAATCGTTTTAAATGAGTATTTATTATTTATTTATTTTTAAATAAAAAAAGGGCCATCAAAGTACTTTCTTTTTGGTGATACAAGAGGTAGACTGACATCATTTTGGGAATATATTAAAGTTTTTTCCTTGTATCTGCTTTGGCTAATGCATGCTCACATTTCTTTATCGATCTGTGAATTAGCAGCATTACCTTGACATCATGTGTAGCCCATGCATTCATTTGCTATTTATTGTTGAAATATATTTTTTTTTTCAATTAGTGAAAAAATGTTTCCTTTTTGTTAAAATCAAAAAGTTCCAAACTGAAAAAAAAAAAAAAAAAAAAACATGTTCATGAGATTTGTAGTATCCTATATGTACCATGTGAGTCCTGCTTCAGCCAGGATCAGGGTCCTGCTCTGGAAGAAATGGGACGTTACACCTTTCAGACACTTTTTGTTTACATTTAAACATTAACATGTTGCGAAATGAAATGTTTGCTGAAGCTTGTGCAGTATAAATTCCCTTAACTCTCTGTATTTCTTTTATTAGACAGTTTACACTTTATTTATTAACATAAAAAAATTTAATAAATAATAAAAAAATGTTTTAATTAAACTCACTAGAATAGGAAGAAATCTAACTTGAAATATATATATTTTTCTAATCTTGAAGTGTTCTCATTTCTTCAATGGTTTTCCAAAAAAATTGATTTCTGAATGCTGGTTAAAATAAAATGATACCTTTATTTGCTAATAATCCCTAGCACAGTATTCTTATGTATTATAACTATACAAAGACTAAAACACTGAAAATAAGCACAAATAAATAAAGCAAATAAAGGGGAAAAAGGGGTTTAAAGTCAGTTAAAGAGTCTCTGAGGAATGTTCAAGTTTTAAGGCTTAATGCATTGAAAGTGTTCTTTAGAAATAATAGCAGATGAATGTGAAGAAACCCTGATGCAGAGATATTAAATGTAGTCAAGACAGTTACATTTAATTTGGTTTTATGTTGAAAAGTGAACAATGACAAGCAATAACTAGAGGCAAATTTGCAGGGCTTAATTTTATAATTTTATAACTCACAGTAGCCCAGGACATCTCCCTTTAGCTAAGGCATTCCGCTGTTGTTGTAGGTCAATCATATCTGGATGGCTCCCTCTCATCTGCTTCAGCAGGCCGGTGCACGAAACACTGCGTTTAACTCGCTTTGTACCGCAGGTAAAGACGGTCAATACGATCAGCTCCTTCTGAATCGTAGGAAAGGTAGTCTGACCTGGTCTTGCAAGCACAGACTTCTCTGGAATGATTTGGTTACTAATTAGCGTAGCTCAACACGGCCACTGGCAACAGGAAGTTGAACAGGAGCTACTTCCTTAAATAAGCCCAATTTACACTATCCTTTTAAAACTGTGCCAAGATCATCCGAGCACGGTAACTGAGATAACTGTTGAGTGTAAATGGATGCAAAACTGAACCAGACTGTGCCAAACACCACCAAACCGCGTTACACTGGTACTAGTTCATCAATAGGGCTTGGAATGGTGTAGTTCTTGCTCGGTTCTAAGATAACAAAGAGCACTTGAGCAGACGGCATCATCTCCTTACAGTCAGCCTCCGTAATCATGAAATTTCAGACATTCATTAAAATTCTAGCTTCCATACCGTGGCACAAGTGATGATTCTGCTTAGCAGTGTAATGAACCTCAACGTCTGTCGTTTCCTGCCTCTATAAACCCTGATTATACTATTGTTTTTCGTATCCACTTCCCAAAAGCCGACTCTGTCAAGTAATTCACCAAAGGCTGCCTTATTCACCTGAATCTCCTCAAACAACAAAATATCATAATTCTAACCAAACTTACTGAATGTTAAGGGGGCCGCCATGCTGATTTGCTTGTTTACCTCTGTGAGAGCAGTAGTACCGTAGATTGTCACTAAGAAGTGAGGAACTGTGCTAATGTGATGTGTAAACTGTAGTAAAGGAACCAAGCTAAGCACTGTTAACTGATCCAAGCTCGGTCCAAACTCGCCATGGATCGGTTTTCAGAGGGTAGTGTTAATGGGGCCATAAACTTTGTTCCAGGGGTGTGACTTCCTGTTAGATCACTGACATTATGGCTGTGTTGAAACGTCCTACCTAACCCCTAAATCCCTCAGTCGCAATATAGAGCAAGGACTATATAGTGGACTTTATAGTGAACTCGGTTAACTTACCATTCGGACAGATGATCACTACACTGACAACACCAAACCAAAACACTGTGTAATTGCACCAAATATATTTAATGCTCTAAACTCCCATATCAATGAGTTAAAGGTAAAGGTAGGTAAAGGTAGCTCTTTTGTTTCCTGTCCTTTTTCTACTGATTAATCCAGATGTGCTTCACCTCATGGCCAGACACACCTGGATTAATCAGTTCATCCAATAATGCAACACAGGATACAACAGAGCTGCCTTAAATTCATGAAGTAGTGAAGGTGTGCATAGAGCCCATGGTTGAGTAAATAAAATAGGTGCAGAACTTTTAACTCTGGGAAATAATTGTTTTTATTTTTTAACCCTTACCTTCTGTGAACATTTAGAAATTAGCTTTCTTTTCAGA